GCCACCCCACGGCACAACTTTGGCCTGGCAGTACCGAGGCAAGGTGCCTCGGGTGCGCGATCTTGGCTGGCAAGCGGCGGTCTTGCTTCGGCAGGCCGGGCGGCCAACTCCGGCCACGGCAGGCGAAACAAGCGAGCGCGCAGGGATGTGCGAGGAGACGGCGAGTCTTGGTAGGGTAGCTAGGCTAGGCGGGAGAAGAGAAGGAAGACGACTTCCATGGCGGCGAAAACGCAGCGCGCCATGGCCGCTCGGTGGCGAGCTGGGAGGAGGCTCGACTGTCTTGGAGAGGCGCAAGTGCGAGCGCGACTTGAAGGAAGGCGAGGCGGAGCTGCGGGCGCGAGGAATCGGGGAATGGCGCGGTGGTGCGGGAGCTCGACGCCGGCGGAGCTGCTGGCGCGCGGCGCGAGCTTGAGCTTTTTTTTTGCTCGGAGGAGAGGGAAGGCAATGCGGGCGGAGTGAGCGAGCGCACTGCTCCCAGCAGAGTAGGCGGGCGCGGCGTGGTAGCAGGCTCGAGCCATGCTGCTGCGCGGCGACGCTGCCGCACATGGTCGCCACGCGGCGGAATGTCTCTGCCGCGGTCGGCGCGTGGACGAGCGGCCAGCAGGGGAACGGCGCGGGGCTGGGCCGAGGCGAGCGCAGCGCGGGATGGCGTGAGCAGGCCGGCGCGCGAGGTGCTGGGCTGGGCCGAGCGAGGCGAGGCGAGGCGCGCGCGGGAGGCTCGCTGGGCCGGCTTCGGCTGGCGGGCCAGAAGCGAGGCGGCGGCCCGCTAACAGAAAACATTCTTTTAAATTTTCATTTTCAATAAATTTTTAAATAACAGTTTTCAAATATTATTTTGAGCAAGAAAATGACCTCTTTTGAAAATGTACCAAAAATGAAAGTTGCTTAGAATTTAATTCTCTACAACTTTGCTTTTAGGACCACAGCCAAATTCTTTCTAGATTTTGAATTGGAAGATCAAAGTCCACGTTTAGCTCAAAACCCTAATTTTTTGGAATTTATTTTTGAAGCCGAATTTTGAATTAATTTGAATACAAACATTGCTCCAAAAATTGAACTAAACATTGCTAGATGATTTACAATAGCAGCCAAACATGTTCTACTAACCTAGCAAGCAAGAATCAGAGCAAAACAACTCTAATAAGTGTATGCATCATTTACGTTTCACAAACATGTTTCGTATGTTTCGAAGTAATGTTTCAGTTATTATATGCAAGATTATTCATGTATGATTAGGATGCTTGATGATGCATGATATGCATGATTTGCAGTGCCTAAATACAGGCATAACACCGGGGTGTTACACCTCTCCCTCGCGGAACCTGCGCGGGCAGGGCGGCGGCGCACTGGCCGTGCTTGCCCCCGGCACGGCTACGCAATGGTGCGGTGTTCGCCACAGGCACGGCCAGCCCTCCCCCCCCCCGCGCTACAGCTGGTTCCTCTGCTCTACGTGTACACGGTGACACCCCCTCTGCTCCATTTGCTTCTTGCCGTCACCCAGCTAAAGCAAGACCATCCCTCTCCTGTCTGTTGCTCCTACTGTGGTTTCCTCTGTGTTCCTTTTCTGATCTATGCTGCAGGTTGACGGATTCATTCCATTTGTACAAGGAAAGCCAGGTGCTTACTCTTAATCTCCATTCCCATCTATCCATCTATTACTCACTACTGCACATATCAATATATCTGTTTGCTTCCCTGCATTGGGAACACCTGTGTAAATTTGATTTACAGAGCTGCTCTTTGTTTTCATGGCAGTACACGTTATTTCCCCACTAATCCCCATCCCCATCTCCATAGTGTTCAGCATATCAATAGATCTATGAGTGGGTAGCGCTAAATCCCCTTTATGTCCTTTGCCGCTTGAGTTACTTATTTAATTAATGCACTTGGCAGAACTCATCTTCGCATCCAGGGATGAAATAATTCTGTCTTTAATTAATCATGGATATGCAAGTTCCTTTCAGTTATCATTCTATCCCATGCGTTTTCCACCTTCACAGTGTTAGCTTGGTTGTGCTGCAGTTGCCATAGCAATGAGCCACAAAGTTTTGCCTCACATTTTTTCCCTTCAATGTGTAGGTTTCGATGGGCATGGTTATAAAATAGTTGCATTTGTTCTGATGTAGATGGTTGTCGGCTTTTTGAAAGAAAAAAGGTATGCTTAGTTTCTGGGCCATCTTCCCATAATTATGGAGTTACAATCTATTTCTTTTAGTGACATACTTCTTATATTAATACCTGGAGTGCAATATAGACATGTATCTACGTGTACTCTAAATTATACCACCTCTAGAATACAAGCTTTTGAGTGCTATATACATTTACAATGTTATCCTGCAATTTCCATGTAGAGTTCATTCCAATTTAGTTAGGACTATAAAAGATATCGGCAGAGTTGAACCTTGCATATGATCCAAACGAACCGTGCCATTTCGTATATCTTTCGCTAACTTGCTTTAGAGTTAGGTATTGGAAACTAAACAACAACCAGAAAATATTTCCCTTTCATTGCTTTCTGTATCAGCCAAATTTGTCCTTAGTTTCCTATTGAAGACTATTTTTAAATGACACCTTTTTGTTTATTGTGTGTATATTCAGTTTGTTCCTTCAATTAAGATACAGAGCATTGCCAAGATTTTATATAAGAGACTCTGCTTCTTCAGCCTGGGCACTGTGTCATATTTGCTTGCCCTTCTTAGCATGTTTGCCTCAACTAATGGTGCATACCAATCTTTCCCGAAAGTCAACCTGGTTAGTTCTTTGATGCCCTGAGGTCGATTCCTATAGAACTGGTGATTCCTTTGTAGTTAGTAGTGTAAATTTGCTCTATTTTAGTGCTTCCATCACATTTAGATGTGATTATTTATAAGCTTCCATAAGGCCTATGGTACTAAAAAACAATATCGTGCTAATAACAGCTGCAAGTTTTCCTATGTCTTCTGAATGGTTCCCTATGCTATTGCATTGCTCAATAACACGTTGTAGCTTCACTGAAATTAACAGGTTCATAGATTAAAAAAAACAGGGACAAGGGTGCAATGGTACATTTATAAGTATGTCTAAGGTATTTTGCTATTTCCTTGCTTGTAAGCTGTTCTTGATTAGTGCTATGTGCTATGGACAGTACCATCACAGGCTGTGACCTCGAATTTGTTCAGGTCGATTTGTGCTATGCACAGTATAATCACAGGTTGTGAGTTCGAGTTTGTTCATGTCGAATTATTCAGATATTTAGTTAAGATAATATATGTCATGATACATGGCATCTGTATGTTACTTTGCCAAGTTCAGATATTTAGCGATGTAAGGTGCCATGCTCAACCATATTACCTGTGTACACATGGATAATTACCTTCCTATCTATGTATTTCTTCACAGCCAAAGAATATACTTTAGTCCTTACTACAAATAATGTTCCTTTCCCCATATGATTCCTTTGAAAAAAAATCCCAATTCAATTAGTTGCACACGTTGTACACGTTCGCTTTATTCGGTTTCAGTCAACTTCCTTTGCTTTTCATACATTTTCCTCGAAATTTATGGAAGATCTATGCTCTGTGCATGGGTAATACTTGGCTACAGTTTTCCATCTTTGCTGTATGTGCTCCCAATTTGGATTGTTACAAAGGATGGTATTTCTCAGTGCATTCCATTGTGCCTAAATACAAGAGAATTCTGAAACCACTCTTATTCACTAAATTCCTGCTATTTTTCCATTATAGTGATTTATAGGTTCAGTTGGTCATTTTGTTCGTCTTTCAGTACCGCATCTGTAACTTTGATACTTTGCTCTGTGTTGCATTCCAGCGGCTTTCTTCCTCTCAGTGCATTCATCAACTCATTTCCACAAGTTACCAAATAGGCTACTACGAAAATTCAGGTCAATCATCATTTCCAAAAAAACATTAGGACTGCTACATTATATCCACAGAAGTCTAACATGCTTCGACAATTGCAAAGGATCATCCGTTCATATACAAATTACAGAGACAAGGCAACATCTTCAAAGGACCCTTCGACAGAAACTACTCATAGGGCCTCCCTAACTGGGACCCCAAAATAGATAAATAAATAGTGCCTGCTTAGTTTTCGGCTTAGTTGAGTTACCAAAGACAAGCCTACTTTTCATGTACAGGTCTTGTAATTATTAGTCTACAAGCTACTTATTGAAAGCTACCCAAAGAAAACCATTTACTAATTCTGAAATCAGTTAATGACAACCACATTTTAATGACTTTGTTGCTCCAATTCATTCCATGAACATATTAAAAAAAATCCTGCAGATCCAATATATACCGTTCCCATGCATGTGGCAGATTTTAGGAACTTCTTCGTTTGCTATAGACATGCTGCTGTATATCTATCATCTATTGATTGAACCAAAAAATTTTCCTCTCACCAGGTGTTGCAACCGAACAAAACGTCCACATCATCATTTTGTGACCTCTGCATGGACAGTTTTCACAAACTTACCATGCAAAATGGTTCCTGTCAGTGTCTGCTTTGTTAGTCGGTGAAAAGTGTATGAACTTTGCCACACCTTTCGCATGTAATATATCCATCATGCAAGTTCCAACTTATTACATCCCCGAAGACAGCAAATCATATATGGCATGAGAATTGTACATTCAAAAACCTGAGCTTTATCCCCTTACCGGCGCGCGCGAAGGCATTCACTAGTCTTGCAAGATGACAGACACTGAACACAAAAATTGGAGCACCAAAAGCATAGGGGTTACATGAGGTAACCTCATTGTCCTGTAACCATCGTTTCTTCAGGAAGCACAATAGCATTCTCCACCAATAAATGGCAGGAACGAAAACAAATATATAACTCATAGTTCAACATTGTCGTAATAATGCCTAGACATCTCATGACAAAAAAGAAGTATCATGAAACAATCCTGGGATCATTTCGTATTTTGCACAAAGCTGAAGATCATCGGACCATCCAAGCGCTCCAACACCTAAAAGGCCCGCCAGCTGATCAGCTCCCCTTCCTACCTCTTTGTTTTGTCATAAACCTCGATGTATCTTTTTGGAACACCATAGTGGTCGACAAGGTGTTTTGCAAGGTCATCAATCACTCCACCTTGTACCAAGACCTCGTACTGTCCTTTCTTACCTGAAATGGTCGTGTAGATGTAATGTATTTCGGTATTTCCTTCACACCATAACTAGTCTGCTCAAGAACAGAAGATGAACAAGGGATGTAGGCCAAGTTACCTGGAAGCTCTGCTGTGGTGGTGCTGCAGGCAAATTTTTTCTGGAGTTCAGAAGCCAATGAATCAGGATCCATCAGAAAACACTCGAGCCCAGAAAGCCGAGTCATCTTCTTATTACCCTGTCTTCTTTCTGTCATGATCTGAATAGTTCTTATGGCACCCTTGCGTATGACCTCCTGAGTTCCTCTTGATACTTTATGGTGAACTTGCATGCGGTTTAAAAATGTTGAACCCAAGTCTTTCTTGTGGATTTCAGTTGGGTATGCCGAACCCTTTTTGATAGCCCCTTTGTACAATGCATCACATAATGTAACATCAAGAATCACCTTGGCCTTGTCTGTAGGTTTAACCAAATTTTCCTTTTCGACATACCTAATCCACAGAAGAAAACAAAATTATATGAATGTGAATAAAATGGACACCTTACACTTCACAAACATAGGACTAGCTATTTACCACAAAAGAATCAGCCACTTTGTCCAACAAAGTAGTTACGGAGAGTGAGACAAACCTGAAGACTATATCTGAAGCCTCTGGTGCACTGTAATACGTCTCCATGTCAGCTTCGACAGCCACAAATATGGGTTTAACATGAGAACTTGGCTTATAAATCTCTGCAACCTCCAATTGCTTAGTGACACTACTTTCAGCAACATCCTTTTCGTGTTCAACAAGCTCCTGTACCCTCTTTTCCGGTCTAAAGGCCATGTAGTCTGGATGCTTACGATTGATAGCAAGCAATATAACTTCCTTCTTATATTTGTCCTCCTTTGCTGAAATCTGCAAAACATACAGCGGGGGGCCTTGTTCAGACATTTGAGTAAAGGAATACGAAACATTATTCTAAATTTTTCATTTTTGAAATTGGGCCTTGAAGATTCAATACAATTTCTAAATCATTAGATTAGGCCCTGAACCATCTCGTTGGATTATCATGTTAGACATATATAAATACTAATAAAATAGTGACATGAAAATAACGAAGCTATGGAAAGTTTATGTGTTCCCCACTCCCCCTTTCAATTTTGTAGTTTTATGGATACATTAAGATGAACTTCTTTGAAATGCTTAGAAAAAATTAAGACCAGAAACTGCTACATGTAGTCCAAAACAACTGGACTAACTCAAATATATCATAAATTATGCATATGAAAAAATAGCAGTCTTACAAGGCCAGATGAAGATTTTGATTGTAACCACTTTGACAACTTTTTGTGTGATGACTTTTTGATATCAAGAGTAACACCAGGAGGTCTACAGGGTAGTATGTGATTTGCCCTGCACAGAACAATATACAGACAATTGACTTAAGCCCAAGTCACGAAAAAAGGCAGAACATGCGAGCTATAAGTTGTTGAACATTTGAATATTTTGTTAAAGTCAGCCAGGCTAATAGTCCAAATATTTTAATAAGAATGCTTGATTACTCGGGCAAAAAGGAAAAAACATAAGTAGTGCTACAGCTTAATAGGACAATAGGCAAACAAAAAAAGAAACATAAATGCCATTTATTGTGGAGCAGAACATGTTTCCATGTATGTAATCAAAGGCCTAAAATATGTCATGGAGAAAAGATGAACCCAATGAAAGTTAGATATGAGTGTGCACCATACAACAGCTGCTAGATTGCAATAGCTTATATAGAAATAAACAGAATAAACACACAACAACAACAACAACAACAAAGCCTTTAAGTCCCAAACAAGTTGGGGTAGGCTAGAGTTGAAACCCAGCAGAAGTAATCAAGGTTCAGGCACGTGAATAGCTGTTTTCCAAGCACTCCTATCTAAGGCTAAGTCTTTGGGTATATTCTATCCTTTCAAGTCTCCTTTTATTGCCTTTACCCAAGTCAACTTCGGTCTTCCTCTGCCTCTCTTCACGTTACTATCCTGGCTTAGGATTCCACTACGCACCGGTGTCTCTGGAGGTCTCCGTTGGACATGTCCAAACCATCTCAACCGGTGTTGGACAAGCTTTTCTTCAATTGGTGCTACCCCTAATCTATCACGTATATCATCGTTCCGAACTCGATCCCTTCTTGTATGACGCAAATCCAACGTAACATACGCATTTCCGCGACACTTATCTATTGAACATCGTCTTTTCGTAGGTCAACATTTTGCACCATACAACATAGCAGGTCTAATCGCCATCCTATAAAACTTACCTTTTAGCTTCTATGGTACCCTTTTGTCATATAGGACACCAGATGCTTGGCGCCACTTCATCCACCCTGCTTTGATTCTATGGTTAACATCTTCATTAATATCCCCGTCTCTCTGTAGCATTGATCCTAAATATCGAAAGGTATCCTTCCTAGTCACTACTTGACCTTCCAAACTAATATCTTCCTCCTCCCGAGTAGTAGTGCCGAAGTCACATCTCATATACCCAGTTTTAGTTCTACTGAGTCTAAAACCTTTGGACTCCAAAGTCTCCCGCCATAACTCCAGTTTCTGATTCACTCCTGTCCGACTTTCATCAACTAGCACTACATCGTCCGCGAAAAGCATACACCAAGGGATGTCCCCTTGTATATCCCTTGTGACCTCATCCATCACTAAGGCAAACAGATAATGGCTCAAAGCTGACCCTTGACGTAGTCCTATCCTAATCGGGAAGTCATCCGTGTCTCCATCACTTGTTCGAACACTAATCACAACATTGTTGTACATGTCCTTAATGAGCCCGACGTACTTCGTTGGGACTTTATGTTTGTCCAAAGCCCACCACATAACATTCCTTGGTATTTTATCATAAGCCTTCTTCAAGTCAATAAAAGCCATGTGTAGGTCCTCCTTCTCCCTATACCGCTCTATAACTATGGTTGACCTTTCAGGCATGAAACCAAATTGGTTCATAGAGACCCGCGTTATTGCTCTCAAGCGATGCTCTCGATAAACAGAATAAACACAAATGTGAAAAATTGCGTTAAAGCAGATGGTAATCAAGATGTGATCTGGAGCAAAAAATTTACCATAGTGTACTTCCTGGCATTGGAAGGTCTTTTTCTTTAATGCTTGTGTATAGCGCTTGCAGAAGACATTTGTCCAAGAGAGAATCAATTTCCTCAGTTGTCAAATTGTGATGTTCCATTTCAACAGGTGCTTGTTCAGTGGTTTTATCTTCAGGCAGTTTTAGTTCGTTAACAGCATCAGTTATCTCTTCCACGGCTTCACTCTGGATGGCAGGATCAGCACCATGATTGTCTGAAATATCAACTCCTGCATCTTCAGCCAAAACACTACCATCATTCGTGCCTTCAGGTTCTTCAGCAGAATCAGGAGACTGAGATGTTGAAACAGAATTAGGATCTTCAACAACAATGTCATCAAAAAATCCTTCATTGGGGACATAACGACCATCAGCCGAATCCCTGCAAATAGTATTAGACAAGTTAATCTCCTGACAAATGGCTAAAGTCGTTTGTGTACCAACCCTGGTCAGTGTGCACTTGCCATAACATATCACGGTAGTAATGTAAAATCTTTAAAGCCTTGCCACGTAGCCCTGCCTTCAAGGCTTCAGTACTACTCATAGTTGTGCTCCCAACCTGTGTAATGCATAATGGTAAAAAAGCGTAGATTTGAACATACTGATAAAGCTCTACCAGTTAAAAACTCTGGGCAAAATCAGTTACAATGAAATATGAAAAACTTACCGCAATTGGAGCAGGGTTACCAGGAACTTTTACAGCCCATGGTTGGCCAGCTTCAAAAGATGGAAACCCTTCTGGAGGTATGCTGATACCAGGAAACATCAGATCAGCGCCACCAATCACGAAACGTGAAACCTCACCACCTTTAAGCGTAAAAGCTGGCAACAGATGGGGGACCTTCCAAAGCGCATAAACTGCAATATTTGCAGCAGATAAACCATACTCAGTTCATTTCCAATGCCCAACAACTGTTGATTAGTAAGTGAAAAACCTATATAACAGTCAAAAGGCAAGGATTTTGTGGATAAAATCTTAACTCTATAAACTCAAGCAATGTCTAATGGAAGTGATGCCTTATACTATTATGGACAGTAACTCCGATAATTCATTGTGGTCACCATCTGCTAAGCTAGGTTTAAGTAGTTAACTTATTTTCAATATACGGAACAAAACCAATAAAGTTATACATACAAAATAAGAGTAGAGCATAACAAAATTACAGTAAATCAAGCACCTAATTTGATAATTAGAAATCAAAATAATGATGATTGTACTCAATAACAGGAAGCAGTGGCCTCTGTTTGTTCTCTGTTCCCTTTCTTTTATGTGCATACTCAAACAGAAACAAATAAATCTCAAGCAGTAGTACAATAAACAAGAAAGTACTGTAGTACAAGTAACAAAAGTTGGATTAAATAGATGAAAAGAGAAATGCCAATATGGAGGAGATGAAAAGAGAAACCTGTAGGAAACAGTTCATGGCCTCTTGCATCAGTGTTGAAAATCATTGGGAACTCTCCCTCTATGCCATATACAAGAGCATGATTTGGGTACTTAGCAACTGTTATCTCAACCTATACAAAAGCACATCAGAGCAAGTATTACGAAAAATTCAAACATATAAATAAAGATACAAATGATACGGATTTATGCGTAAAATTACTATAACTGATAAATATAGTAATGAGAAGGAATATGATAAAGAAAAAATTAATGTTACGGGTCGAAATATCACAAGCATACATGAACAAGTAGGCTACTATTCCTTCACTAAGCCTGGAGCTCTACCACGCAATGTATGCCAAGTTGATGGTGACAACCCAAACAATAACATCTAACATTTTTCCTCCATTTCTTTATGTTAGGCATCTTAGGATTAGAGAGTTTTTTCATTTTACAGACGTGTAAGGTTTCAAGGGATTCTTTAACCACTTTCTTCCTATTTTACCCTTGCTTCTTTACTGCCCGGCACCCGCGTCACTCGCATGCCTGCCAATTAATTGCCTCTGTCACCAATGGCTTGTCTCTCCACTTCCTATACCCACCATGAGAGAGGATTGGGAATTCAAAAGGCTTCAGCCAATAAAGGGATAACATAAAGCTGGTGTGTTTTCTCCACGAATGCACAAAGTGACAGAGTCAGTGGAAGAGTAGGGCTAATGCAGCCTTTTTTGCTCGTCGTCCCCTTAAAATTTGAAGCTCCTCAATATGTGCGCCTAAGCTGAAAAGACTAACAAAAAGGAACTGAGGGAGTCATGTAATGATGATATGTAGGGGCTGCTTGATTGCCTTGCCCCTGCCGCTCGCCTCGCCTTGCATAAATAACAAGGCGGCCAGCGAGAGAACCCAACAACGTCGACTGTTTCAACTGTTTACTCTGTTAGGCGAGGTGAGGGCGAGCAAGGGATCCAAAGCATGCTCGTAATTCCATTAGCATAACCTTACATGTTATTGTCCCATGCTACACTAACATCAACAACAAATTCTTTACTCCGTGGAAGTTAAGGAAGGCTAGATATGAAACCCAGTTAACATGTAAATTACATATTATTCTGTCAGACACAGACGGTGTAAATAAAAGAAAAGGAAAAAAAGGGGCAAACAAAAGAAGTCATCACCTTGGGAGGCAGGATGGCATCGAGATCAGCATCAGAAGCCTGTGGAAACCTTTCCTTGGCAGTTCTTCTTAGCTTCTTTTTGTCAGCCCCAGACAAGCGCTGTATGGTTTTCACATCAACAGGTTTCTTGAACATGGCTGATCAGACCCAGGAACAAGCTGAGATGCATATAAATGAGTTAAATATGTCACCTCAATCACAAGGAAGACCATGAGATACAAAACTGTAGTTAAAAACTGAGCAACAAAATATAGATGATGAAACAATCAGCCAGCACGAAATTCATCTTTAGGAGGTGAGATTAGAAATGTCGAACGAATACTAAGAAAATGCCATTGCAGGCTCCTATTATCACACTCATCGCATACCTAATTATTGATTTCTAACATTAAATCTGCTAAAAGACCCAAACTACAGAGTACTTAGCAGTTAGCACCTACATGACACATGACACAGTTCGTCCTATCATAATTATACAAACTCAATTCACGAACCCCAGCGTTCCATATCCTCCTCTTAGGACAACAATGCCCAGCTCGTTAAAATGAAAACATTCCTTTCAATCAAGCAACGCATAAATTAGGAGCAAAATTACCAAGCCCTTATAGGGGAAACAACCCTACTTTCTCTCTGATAGTAACATGCTTTTCGAGCACCTCAAGAACCCAACAAGTGACAGGAGACAACAACACATCACAGACCAATCCCAGGACTATACAAGAAGCCTAACGATCGAGTAAGAAAGCATAAACTCTTCCACCGTATCCGGAAGGGCTAACGAGCTGAGGGATCACAAATGATGGACTAGCCAACCACGGATGGGGTTAGAGATAGAGAGGCTTCCTTACCGCCGCTGGCGAGGTCGGAGGCGGCGCGAGGGGATCCGGTAGGTTCTGGAGACACTTTCGGATGCTGCTCCAGACCAGAATAAACGACGGCGCAGGTGCGTGTCCCTGCGGAGAAACCGTACGGTGGATGGGCCGGTAGCCCTCACGGGCCCTCCTCTCCGGCTTTTTTATGGGCCCATCCTTCCTTTTAGCTCTGAGGCCCATCGCCTAAAAAGGGCCGCATGGCCCATGGGCCGATTTAACAGGAAAAATAGAGAACGACGAGCGGCCCCTGCCTGCCCGCAACCACACGCACTGGAACTCTGGAAACATCGTGCGGCGCGGCGAGCGAGAGGAGTGGAGGATGACGGCGCCCAAGCCTGGCGGGGGAGCGGCGGCCGCGGCGCGGGCGGCGGCGGCGGCGGCGGGGCCCAGGACGGTGCTCATCACGGGGGTCAGCAGGGGGCTGGGCCGGGCCCTGGCGCTCGAGCTCGCGCGTCGCGGGCACGCGGTGGTCGGCTGCGGCCGCTCCGCCGAGCACCTCCGCTCCCTCGAGGCAGAGATCACGTCGCCGTCGCGCCACTTACTCACCGTCGCCGATGTCGTAAGGCTCCGGTGCCCGTTCAAGTACTGATAGGAATTTTGCTGTACAGTTGCTGCGCTGCTTTCTAGCGAGTGACCTGCTGACCTAGTTCTCCTGTTCGCTGGGGATTCGTTTTCAGTGCTTACTTTCGTTTTTGGCTTCCCAACCGCTGTGCTTGGTTGAACTTTGTGCTTTTGAAGTCATATGCTAGTGTATTGATGAGCGAAATCTCAATTACTCCCACGAGGTTGTAGATTCGTGCTGCTGTATATTCATCCTTTGCTTAGAACTTTGGATGAGTATTTTACAGATTGGTAAACTTCGTTGTTTGACTGGCAGCTTATCACCTGAGGCCCTGAGGGTCAATGCGTCTTGAATTCATAAGTCAATGCTGATAAGTGTGTATGATAATACTTGATGTTCAAGGAATAGGAAATCTTTGTGCTCTACGTTTTTACAATGTGGCGCATACAGTAGCCAGTGGGGGTTGGTTATCGTCTCAGACTATGGGCTAGAACAGTTTGTGCATGAGTTGCTGGAGCATTCTCCACATTGAAGAACTGGTTTTCACCTTACTAGGAATGTGGAGAGGGGTATTGTAGTCTAGAATTCCCACCAGACGTTTTTTATTTTGACCATAGATGCATATAAAGATAGTAAATTGATGACATAAGGTTGTAGCTATTAGTGTTGGACAATAGTGAGATGATAATAGAATTACATTTTATCAGTGACGTGTTTATTTCTCTTTTTCTAAGAAACAAAGCATAAATAATCTGAGTAATGGTTAATTGTTTGCTATGTGAAAACATTTTCTCAAGCACTGTTTTACGCTTCTGCTGCAGAGGTCTGACAGCAGTGTGGCCGAGCTGGCAAAGGCTGTTGTGGAAAAGAAGCAAGTTCCAGATATTATAGGTTTGTTATGCTTTGTGTGTGTATGCAGTTGAGCCATGAAGTTTATTATGGAATCGCATATTTGTATGCTCATTCTGAGTATATGAGCAAAGAAGATTTCCTGGATTCTAACTGTTGAGGTATTCTGGCAGTAAACAATGCTGGTACAATAAACAAGAATAACAAGACATGGAATGTTCCAGCGGTTGATTTTGATATGGTGGTCGATACAAATATCAAGGGAACAGCAAATGTGCTTCGCCATTTCGTACCACTTATGATAGAGAAGAGACATGGGATTATAATCAATCTATCCTCTGGTTGGGGAAGATCTGCTGCTGCAGAGGTCAGACAGAAAGCCATCAAATGCATTATAGTTGTTTCTTTCTGTTGAATCAAAATCCTCAGTGCATACTAAATTGCACATTGCCATTTCAGGTTGCTCCATATTGTGCTTCGAAGTGGGCAATTGAGGGCTTAACACGCTCGTTGGCTAAAGAGCTGCCTCCTGGATTGGCAGCCATTGCTCTTAGCCCTGGTGTCGTGAATACTGACATGCTTACTTCATGCTTTGGAAGCTCAGCCGCATTATATCAAACAACTGAAACATGGTAAACTTCCCTGCCTTATGTTTGTTTGACCTATTTACCTTATGTTATTCTACCTTGTCCACATATAGATTATAAACACAGCATTCCGTTATTCACTGTTCATTGGCTGAGCTGGAAATAAAATCTGAACCAACGGACACTCGGGGATGGGACACTACAATTACATAACTAGTGTTAACACTTTAGCATGGTCAATTGACACATAAATCACCTTACTGGATCATCCTCCCAAGATAGTTCTGACCAGGATGATTTCATTGCAATACCTAATTACCTATTCCTTTCCATTCCACCTTTATTGTTATATATAGAAGTTCTGTTGCCATACCAGTGATTTCAAAGGTGCCTGTTCCGCTCCAAATATGTCAGCACTTAGTCCAACTAAATATACTGTCAGTCATCTTCAACCTTGTATTGCACATTTGCGCTTCCAGTGCTCTGTCTCTACAATTCAACTACCATTTTTCCAGACTCTTATGGAATAGCTAACCCCACTTTGTATACTGTCCAAATGTGAAGTTTTTCCGTGAGGTTTCTGTGACACTTGGACAGGGAAGCTTGATGTTGAGTAGCCTGCGTATTTGCTAGATTTGATCTATCATATTGCATTTTCAGACTTGAAAACTCTGCATTGAGAAGTCTTGCCACTTCGAGCATCCTGTCTGTGGTCCTGTAATTAAATGATAGCTGCTACACATCCGACGGATTTGTACGACCCACATCCAATTGGGCATGCGGCGCACAGAGCATTGCCCCAAAACCCGCAGACTCGCCTCAGGCCTTGCTTAGATGCATCGTATCCACCTCAATCCATGCACTTCGAGTACATGCAAACAAGCCCTCAGGGTTGTAACACAGCTGGATGGAGGACCTGTGTGTGTGGGCTTTTCCTAATTAAATTGGCATACGATGCATAGAAGTTTGGACTATACTACTTAGCTGTCTCAAAGCATTAGGCATTCCTAATTAATTGGCATACAATGCATAGAATTGTGATATACTTAGCTGTTGCAAAGCATTAGCTTTGTGTGGCAAACACAGAGTATTAGGTTGTTTAGACATTGAATACAGTGAACATTTGGCACTATGATCAGTTACCAGATTAATGAATGGATGTTGCTGTTTTTTCAGGGCACCCAAGGCAGCTACAATGATACTAAGCCTTTCACTCGACGATAACGGTGCCTCCTTGACTGTATGAAGTGGTGAAATTTTGTGCTCAACTGATTGCTGATGGGTTCCCTTGTAGCTTGACATGTAGGTTTTTGCGAGATTATGGTGATGTAAAATAGTAGTGATAATAATGTGTGTCTGCACTCTGATGTCCCTAGCTGCTGTCTGAACGTTATTGTTTAGCATTACCTCTATGGCCTATGCATATGCTCTTCTTTCATTTGATGTTTTGTTGATGGGGGAGTAATATGGTGAGAAAGGTGCCGGGCGGAGAGATAGAAGCAGGCCTCGCTTTGTTTCGGCAGCACTGCTAGCGCCCGGACGGACACCCGCGGCTGCAGTCCGTTCCCGTGTCCACGCATGGGCCCGCGCCGGCCGGACGTTGCTCCCCAGCGCCTGCGTTTTGCGGCCAAGCAGGAGGCCGCGCCGCTCGCGTCGCGTGCCCACGGGACCGCTCGTGTTCCCTCCAACTTTCCACGTGTATGCTATGTCAACCAGATCTATTTTAAAATATTCGGATACAATATTTGTAATATAAAAAAAGGCAGATAAAGTCCTTGAAATATCGTCTAAAACACTTAAAAAATACACAACATCTAGATAAAATACTTATAACATATGTGTGAAAATATATACAACATTCGAATAAACAGCTTACGACATATGTCCAAAAACCAGATGAAACATTAAAGACAATCGTTTGCAACATACGTGTATAATCGTTATAACATATATAACATTCCGATCTACCTTTCCAATACCCGTACGAAACTCTTGCAACGTACCTTTAAAATATTTGGAACGTGAGCTTGCAATATGCATTATATCCCCGTACGGCTTCCTCCACCGTCTGCGTCGAGGCGTCGTAGCAGCAGGCGAGGCCAGAGGACTTCCGCACCAGGGCCTAACGCTTCTCTTGCGCTGGCGGTGCATGTCGGCGTCGTCGGGTCGGACGGGTGGCGGAGCAGGAGCAACGGCAGGAGTAGCGAGACGGGCGCGCAGAGCAGCGGCAAAGCAGTGGGCGCGGGTGCACGGAGCAGCGGGGCA